AACTTCAACAAGTGATAAAATTACCACCAGGAGGAATGGGGCACATTGACACCAAGGGCCTCCTGAAGGTACCAGCAAGGGCATTGCACCACCAACGTGTTGGTCCTGCCAAAAATGCAGTCACCTGAATCCAATCAAAGGAACCATCAGACAAAACTAAATTGAGCGCTATCTGTAAAATAACTGACCTGCATTCTGCAAAAGTGTCAAGGTTGTGAAATACAGAGAAGATACAGAGAAGGTTGCAGGCTATAGAAGACTAAAGGGGCATGAAAATAAAATGCAATATGGGATCCTGGGCACATTTTTTTCTTTTGCTATAAAAACTATATTGAAAGGATTTTTAAAAATTTGAATAAAGTATGTCCATTAGGTGATAGTATTAAACAATTTTAATTTCCTCACTTTTATAATTGATGTTGTTTTTAGAAAACGCATGATTCCTTTAGGGGAAAAGGAATTTCATGTCTGTAACGTACTTGCAAATAGCTCAGAAAAACATGTATACTGATGGAAAGAAAAAGCATATATGATAAACTATTGAGACTGGAGAAAAGTCGGTGACAAGTAAGTATACAGGAGTGCTTTGCACTGTTCTTGCAACATTTTTATATGTCTAAATTATTTGACACATATCATTTTAGAAGGAAAAGCTCACACTTTAACTTGAAGTTTTTCCTTTGGGGATTAAGCATTGCATACATTTCCCCCCTCTCTTTTCCATTGTGCTTTAAATGGAAACACTTTGAGCATCATGGCAAAAAAAGAAAGAAAAAAGATATGCTAATCACCTGCTCATCTCCACTGACCTTAGCCTACTGTACCTATTCAAGGATATGGATATGAAACATATGGGTATAACAAGTGACAAAAGAATGATGGAGACATTCAGAAATTTCTTTTACATTTTCAATCTAATAACTATTCCAAACTTTAAACTGCTGGTGGATATTATATATTGAAGCTGATTTTCCTAAAACTCTTAGTAAAACTAAAAATCCTTTGTTGGCCAGCTTGGCTACTTAGGGGACTGGAAACATCTACGTACAAGAGAGGTCTGTGGATATATGTTTTTTGGCTAATGCCTGCGCCTTCATAAGTAACACACAGACACAGACAACGGTGTGGTGATAGCCAGAGGGAAAGGGCTGGGGGGCTAGGTGGAGGTGAACAAAAGCGGGGGGAGTGGGGATGGAGAGAGACTTTGCTTGGGGTGATAGGCACATGATGCAGTGTGCAGATAATGTTTCATTGAGTTGTACACTTGAAACCTGTATGGTTTTGTGAACCAATGTCAACCCAATAAATTCTTTTTTTTTTTTTTTAAAGAAAGATGCCTAACTCAGGGCTGTGGGGCTAGGTGGAGGTGGACAAAAGTGGGGGGAGTGGGGATGGAGAGAGACTTTGCTTGGGGTGATAGGCACATGATGCAGTGTGCAGATAATGTTTCATTGAGTTGTACACTTGAAACCTGTATGGTTTTGTGAACCAATGTCAAGCCAATAAATTCTTTTTTTTTTTTTTTAAAGAAAGATGCCTAACTCCTTCCTTCCCATCATCTCCAAACAATGGCCTATTTCACTTTTAAGATATTCGGTTTAATGCTGTCCGGATTCTCTCTTTCACCATCTCTGACAATAGGCCCCCAACAGGCTCTGTGCCTCCCTCCTGTCTCACCTCCACCTCCCCTACACACGTGTCCCACTCTGCAGCCAGAACAGCTTCCAAAAATATGGATCTGACCGTGGTCCTGCTGCCTGAAACCCCTCAGTGGTTCCCTACTCCCAGTAGCCATCGGGGGGGGGGGGGGGGGGCGGAGACAGCAGCCTGGCCTGTGTGGTGCAGCACAGCAGCACCCTGAACAGGCCTGAAGCTATAGATGGGCCTGGGCTCTCTTCCCACACCCCACCTCTCCATAGGGCTCTTTCTTGTCACTATTACTTGTCCATCCTTCCTGTCTTGTAGTTACCCACCTAAAATCCAGCCTCCCTTAGAGGGCTGGTAAGCCCTCAGTGATGGGACCCTACTTCTTTTAGATCAGCGGTTCTCAACCTGTGGGTCGCGACCCCTTTGGGAGTCGAACTACCCTTTCACAGGGGTCGCCTAAGACCATCGGAAAAACACATATATAATTACATATTGTTTTTGTGATTAATCACTATGCTTTAATTATGTTCAATTTGTAACAATGAAAATACATCCTGCATATCAGATATTTACATTACGATTCATAACAGTAGCAAAATTACAGTTATGAAGTAGCAATGAAAATAATTTTATGGTTGGGGTTCACCACAACGTGAGGAACTGTATTAAAGGGTCACGGCATTAGGAAGGTTGAGAACCACTGTTTTAGATCCTGTCTCCAAGACCTCACCATGATCCATAGGTTTTTTTCGATTCTAACTAGTTAGTGTTCCCTGCAGATCAAGGTTGGATGCCTCCATGCTTTATCTGCTCACATGTCTCCTTGGACTGAAATTCTCCCACCATCTCCCCACAGTCCTTCTTGGCCAACAGTCTGGTTCTCCTCTTCAAGGTGCAGTGCAGGAGCCCCATCCCCTCCCTTAGATGCTCTCAGAGCAGACTGGGAAGTCTATTATAACTCTCTGTTATGATGACATTGCATTTTTGTATCTGCTTCCTAAACTGTATGCAGGTAAGCAGCATTTCTACTGTTGCTTTTAGCAAAAAAACCTCAGACCTTAACAGAGTGGACACTTCACAGAGGCTTTTGAATGGAAGCCAAAGCCCTCTCCCAACTTTCTCAAAACTCTAGCATTGCCAAAGCTCACACCCGTCTCTTCCCCTTAACAGGTGCCATCAACTGCCTGAAGGTCTCCTTGTATAGCCTTTCCCACTCGAACTTCTCTCCATAGCCTGTCAGTTGGTTTTCAGCTCCATTCATAGGGATTGCTACATCATTTTTTATTTTTCCATTTCTGAATTTCTCTTCTAACTAAAACATCTCTCTCTCTCTGACTGGCTTATTTCACTTAGCATAATAGGCTCTGGGTCCTTCCATACTATCTCAGAAGGTAAGATTTCCTTATTTTTAAAGGCTGGGTAGCATTCCATTGTGTAACTAGACCACAGCGTTTTTATCTACTCATCTACTGATGGGCACTTGGGCTGCTTCCAAACCTTGACTATTGTAAATAACACTGCAATGAACATGCGGTACATGTAGTCTTTTGAATTAGGATTTCGGGTTTTTGGGATATATTCCCAGAAGTGGAATTGCTAAGTCATAAAGCAGTTCCACTTCTAATTATTTTAGGTCTCTCCTACTGTTTTCCACAGTGGCTGCACCAACCTGCATTCTCATCAATAGTGCATGAGGGTTGCCCTTCCTCTACATCCTCAGCAGCACGTGTTTGTTAATTTACTGATGATAGCCATACTGACAAGCTTGAGGTGATATCTCATTGTGTGTGGTTGTTTTTTTTAAATTCTTACCCGAGGATATTTTTCCATTGATTTTTAGAGAGAATGAAGGAGAAGAGGTGGGAAGAGAGAGAGAAAGAAACATCAAGGTGAGAGAGAAATATCGATCAGTGACCTCCTGTCTGCACCCCAGGCCGGGATTGAACTCCCAGCCGAGGTATGTGCCCTTGACCAGCAATCAAACCTGCAACCTTTTGATGCATGGGATATGTTCTCCCATACAATTTATTTCTCTTTCATTTGTTGATGGTTTCCTTTGCTGTTCAAAAACTTTTTCGTTTGATGTAGTCCCATTTGCTTATTTTTTCATTTGTTTCCCTTGCCGGAGGTCATATGTCAGAAAAAAATATTGCTACGAGAAATATCCAAGATTTTTTCATTTATATGTAGAATCAAATGTACAAAGTAAACTAACAAACAAAGTGAAGACAGACTCATGGATGCAGAGAACAGTATGGTGATTGCCAGAGGGAAAGGGCAGTGAGGGGAGGCAGAAGAAAGTAAAGGGTTGTAAATAGTGATGGAAGGAGACTTGACTTGGGGGGTAAACACACAATACAATATACAGATGATGTATTATAGAACCGTGTACTTGAAAACTGTATGATTTTTTAACCAATGTCATGGCAATAAAAAAAGGACCTCTCTCTCCAGCTGCTTCTTTTACCTCCAGTCCTGATAATTCTGGTCTTATTGACCCATCAATCCCTCATTGTTTCATTGGCCTTCTACCTGGTCTGGGCCCCATGAGTGTGGGTCTGATTCTACTCCAAACCTCCTCTTTCTTGCTCTCTCCAGCCTCCACCAGAAAATCTGGCTCTTCTTTCTCTGCCACTCATGTCCTGGAGGAATGTCCTCTACCTTCAAGGCAATGAAATTCCTTCCTTAAGCTGGGGTTTCTGCCTCTGAATTGACAAATGCATGGCTTTTGTTCAGATCTGGGAACAAAAGAACCTTCCACTTGGGGGGACTTCATCGAAGGAGAAGGGACAAGCTAAACCGGAGGTTGCTGTGCATGTTACACCACGTCAATGTGCATGTTTCTAAGAATGTAATCCGACCACTCTGACCTGCTCTCCAGTCTAATGAAGAAGTGACTCTTGCGATAATCTAACTTCCCTTCTCTTAAGGCTACCAATTCTACTACTCCTTCCAGCAGGTTTTAGCTCCACCAATGAGGCTTCAGTAGAAATGTTGGCATGCCAAATTAAGGAAACCACGCAAGTGTGGCAGCAAAAATACTTCCCAAATTGTCACCACACATGCATTTCTAGCCTTTTGCCGCCCAGCACCACATGTCCCTCTCACCTTGTTCACTTTGCCAATGACCCCTCTTTCCTGGGGGTGGGGTGTTAGCGGGAGTCCCCAAGTGGCCTGCTGGTGCTGCCAACCTTTAAGTCCACCTGTAGCCCCATCGCCACAGCTATTACCTGAGGGCATTTCTGATGAGAATTCTCCTCCCATCTGCATTTTATCACACTAGTTTCATTCCCTAATTTTTGCCAGGCTCTTGTGGATTCCCACCAAATCACCACATCCCATTCCCATCTGACCTCCAGATCCTGAAATTCCTCTTCCTCCTCCACATCATAGGAGAGGGTGTGGATTTTGATGTCATCAGCTGAGAGGTCAATGAACTTCCCATCGGGGTACTCCAGACTCTCTTTGGTGGGTGACCGGTCCTCAATGAAGGTGGTCTCACAGCAGTCGGCAGCCACGCCATCCCCCCAGGAGCGCAGCATGCCCTCGGAGTAGAGGATGATGTTAGGGTGGTAGTGGGACTCCACCGACTGCTGCAGGGTGTTGGGGTCCAGCAGCTGCTGGACCGGCTCACTCCTGCCGCTGTCCAGGGTGGCTGCTGCCGCATTGCCCAGCAGCCGGCAGTTCTGGTACTGGGGTGCTGGGTAAACAGACACTAGGCCATCTCTGCTCTCAGCCATGAAGTTTCTGGTGTTAATTAAGCCATTCCTCTTGCCAGCATCGTTGATCTTACTGTGCATCAGCATAGTCTTCTGTTCAATGATGCCATCCATGGTGCTCTGCCTGCCCAGCTGGGTGTCGGGCTGTGGCTGCAGGGCTGGGCTTCAGGGTCACACTTGCCTCATGGAACCCATTTCTCCTGGAGGAGAATAAAACAGAGATGAGACAAGAAAATCACACCTGAAAAAGAGCTCATCACCCGGACCCGTGTTCTCTCAGGTATAACAGTCAGCCAGTACGCACCATGGCTAGGAAAGGGAGATGAGAGTCCAGCCCTACCAATTCTGCCAGTTTTATATTTTTAAGATTTTTTAATTGGCTTTTTTTTAGAGAGAGAGAAAGGGAGAGGGAAAGAAAAACATTGATGTGAGAGCGAAGCATTGATTAGCAGCCTCTTGCATGCCCCCAGCTGTCTCCTGCACACCACCTAGTAGGGATTGAGCCCTGAACCCAGGCATGTGCCCTGACTGAGAATCGAACCAGAAACTTTTCAGTCCACTGGACAAGGCCCAACCAACTGAGCTACATGGGCGAGGGCATCTAATCCACCAATTTTAAAAAGACTTTATGAGAGCAGCCGGCCAGAGAAAAGCAGAAACTGATTATCTGCATCTCTATAAAGTCTGTTTCCAAAAAGGACTCTGCAGAAATTGGGATCACTGCAGCTCTAGAGAAACCTGTGATGGGCAGTACTCATCCCGAATCTCACAGGTAAACCCAATCACGTTAGCATCAGACTGGTCCTCAGGGAGAACAAGGCTGCACATCTGTAATAGAGCTGGACTCTTCCAGGTCCATGGCTACTCATTCCAGCAAGCAACACACACCCAAAAAAGAAAGGGCTTAGATAACATCCCACACAAATTAGAAAATAAATGACAAGATCATACCATTGTACTGTAGATGGACAAAATTCCCCAACTGAGGAAATACATGTATATTCTGAGGTAGGTATTAGAATTAGCTCAACACACCTGCCTACTGGCTTTCCAGCATAGTCCCGGGAATCAGCCAATAAATTTCTTTGCCTTAATGGTGCTCAACTTAGAAAAATATCTATATATTATGGACAAAATTAAGAAGTCCTCCAAATTGTTTCTCCCTAGATTGTGTTTCTTTCTAGGATTTCAAATGTTAAAAAAAAAAAAAAAAGACAAGCTTGAGATCTTTGGAGCTAAAGAATGAATTTCTTCAGGTTTTTTATCTTTGCAAGTTAACTAATATTCAGGAAAATATTCTGTCTTGTGGTTTTAGGGTGCTCTGGCTTTCTATGAGGTTCAACCACTTTCTCACATTATAACTGTTTTACTTGGTGGTAGTTATCAGAAGTTACAATTTCAGACTGACTAAAGGAGAAGAGATAGAGAGGACACCTTGGTGACTAACTGGGAAATAATATTTTAATAGAGTTGACAAATGACCAGTCGAACTACAGTATATGCGCTGAGAGATTGGTCCTATTATTAGTGTTACACTGTGTCAAACTTAAGAGAGGTCAGAAACATACTTCCACCTCTGCTTACACAGCATAGAGTAGTTCGCTCAAATTTAAATATCTGAACAGATGTCGTGAGCATCTGCAACAAAGATGCTCACGTGTTTGAGCATCACCTCTGTGCTTGATCATCTTCCAAGCTGGCATCATATGCTTATTGAGGTATTTCTGGTCCAAACACTACAAGCCAGATGAGGGGCCCAGCATTGTGATCAACCCAGTGGCTTCTCTATTTTCCTAACTTTGTTGATCTTCCTCCTTCCACAGAGAAGCCACTGGGTTGATCTCAATGCCGGGCGCCTCATCTGGCTTGTGATCTGCAAGATGTACTATCAAGACTAGAATAATTTTCTTGAAGTCGGTTCATTCTCAGACTAACTCCTTCCTCCCAGATCCACTGTCAGCATCTTACAAAGGATACGCGGTTAAATCTCACCTCCTCAATGAAACCGCCTGCTCTTCCTCAGCCAGACTAACCTCTTCCTTCTCTGTGCCATGTTTCTCTTACAGTTCCTGTTGCATCCTTCTCTGCCAACACGGCATCTACTACTGTCAGCCTCCTCCTCCAGCCCCTGCTCCTGCCTAGGAGCTCCAAAAACCAAAGAAGCAGTGTTACCTTTTCCCTTTCGAGTGCCCATTATGCAGCAGGCACTCAGTGAAAGTGTTGACATAAACAGTATCGTCTTTTGTGATACCCATAATCCCTACTTAGTAATCTCCTTGCGCTGCACAAGCCCCAGATGTGAAAAAAGTACCTTGAGGCAGGCACAGCTTAGGTCTCTCTATAGTTCGCTGCCCAAAGTGCCCAGTGAGAACTGGCAGCATCAGCACCCCCTGGAAGCTTGTTAGAAATGCAGAATCCTGAGCACCCCCTGGAACTACTGAATCAGCACCTGCATTTTCACATGAGAACAAGCGATTCGTCTTCACGTTAAAGTTGAAGGGCACCACGCTAGGGTGGAAAGAGCAAGTTTGGCCTGTTGGACAAGTTGACTCGAATTTACAATAGATTATTTACTATATTTTTAGAGTATTAAATAAACGTATCAAGCAATCGCATTCTTAAATAAATATTTTCTTCTTGAAGTGAGGTTTTCCAGCTTTGAGTATTATAAATTAGGATTACATCTGAAAGAAAGGGGCTGGAAGT